CCAAGTTGCCCAGGCGGGTCTCAAACCCGCAGGCTCAGGCAATCCACTCACCTCAACCTCCCAAAGCATGGGATTACAGGCTGAGCTACCGAGCCCAGCATAAATTATTATTATTTATTTATTTACTTATTTATTTTGAGTTGGAGTCTCACTCAGTCGTCCAGACTGGAGTGCAGTGGCCGCTCCCGGCCACCGCAGCCTCGAATTGCTGGGCTCCGGCGATCCTTCCACCTCAGCCTTCCAGGTAGCTGGAATTACAGGCGCGCACTACCATGCCTGGCTAATTTTTTTATTTATTGTAGAGATGAGGTCTCACTGCCCAGGCGAGTCTCGAACCCACGGGCTCAGGCAATCCACTCACCTCAGCCTCCCAAAGGCGCGGGATTACAGGCTGAGCCACCGAGCCCAGCTATAAATTATATTTTTAATCTAAAAAAAAGATGCAAGCTCTTAGTTTCAGGGTTGTATTATTAATACATTCTTTAAAAGAAAATCTAAAGAAAGTAAGTTTTTCTTGTATCATGTTGACTTCTTATGAGAGGGCATGTGAAATCTCTAAAAACTATTTTCATATGTCAAGAAATCATTTGACATACTGAATAATGGATTGTTTATTGGGTCAAACCTCATCCTTTTTATGAAAAGAGGTTTTCTTTTTCTTTCTTTTCTTTTCTTTTCTTTTTTTTTTTTGAGTTGGAGTCTCACTCTGTTGCCCAGGTTGGAATGCAATGACATGCTCACGGCCACTGCAGCCTCGACCTGCTGGGCTCTGGTGATCCTTCTCTTCAGCCTTCCAAGTAGCTGGAACCATAGGCGCATGCCCAGCTAATTTTTTTTATTTATTGTAGAGACGCGGTCTCACCAAGTTGCCCAGGCTGGTCTCTAAGCCCTGGACTCAGGTAATCCTCTCACTTTGACCTCCCAAAATGGGGGATTACAGGTGTGAGCCACCCTGCTTGGTTACAACAGCCCTTGCTCATGGAAATTTTAATTTGGGAATCACATTACACATTTTCCTATCTAAAGAAATTTTACAATTCCAATCTAAATGAAAGTCATCTGGCTGGGTACAGTGGTTCACACCTGTAATCCCAGCACTTTGGAATCACTCAAGTGCAGGAGTTGGAGACTAATCTAGGCAACATAGTGAGACTTCATCTCTACAAAAAAAGTAAAATAAAATAAATTTCTGCACAACTGTAGTCACTCAGTTGACTGAGAAGCATCACCTGAGCCTAGGAGGTTGCGGCTGCAGTGAGCCATGATCACACACTGCACTCTACCTTGGGCAACAGAGTGAGACCCTGAAACAAATACATAAATAAATGGAAGTCATCTATCTCATAGTGCATGGAATTAAGAATGCTTGACAACTAGTTTTGCTGTAAACTTAAATAATGACAAATTTTCCCAAATTGTGGTTAGGTGGCCATTTATGGTAAAGATGTCTAATAATCTCCCATGCCCTCAGCATTCTTATGTGTCTGTATGTGTGTGTCTTTGATGAACTTTTCTGATACAGGGGTCTAAGATAATTACATTAATGCTTGGAAAAATGCCAGAGAAATGATAGGAATTTGAAACCCTAAGAAACAATAATTCAACATGCTAAGAAAATATTCTAAGATAACAACATAATCACACAGATACTCAAAATAAATGCAAATATAACTGCTGCCTTTCCAAAAATTTCTGTGGAGACCACTTTTCTAGAGTGGAAACAGAAAGAAAGGAGATAAGCAATGTCAGAGAAATGTGTTCATCAAGTACCATGGTTCAAATTATCAAGTGAAATAACCACCATCTATACTATTAATTCAAAACCGCTATTTAAAAAATGAAAAGGATAATCATATACAAGGGACCATGTCATGTTCATCCTTCATATACAGGAACACTGGCACACAGCTGGCAATTAATAAAAGCCTGCAGTTGTATGAAGAACACTCAAAACTACTACAGACTTCAAATCATCAAAACTGCAAAGAATCTTAAAACACCGACCCTTTCCTCTCCACCCACCTACCCACCCTGTCTTCCCTACCCAAGAAAAAGAGGTTGATATTTTGAGGGTACCTTAGCAGGAAAAATGATCTTCTGTCACCAAGATGTGCTGTGTGTGTGTGTGTGTGTGTATATGTGTGTATATATATATATTATATATATATATAATGATTGTTTTCACTTCTGAAGCTTTCTCTTCTTAGAAGTATTTGGCCCCACCTTTAGCCAGAGATTGAAACAAAGCCTGAGTGTACCAAGTTAAACAAAGTTATACAATGAGGTAGCTTTTACAAAATGGCACTGCTTTGCCAATGTTGCCAACACACTGTTTTCTTCCCAGATGCTTGATAATTACCTGATAATAGTGCTTCCGGTCAAATACAGAACAGTGAAAATAGCCCCACCCAATTATTTACTGAACTGACACAGAACTGACAGGGTTTAATCTCAACTTTAAAAGGCCATGGAGTTGGAGGAAGACAAGGTAAGAAATGTAAGAGTGATACAAATACATCGACTGAAGAGACTCACTCACTATGAGTCAAAGGGTTTTGTTATTGTTTTTTGTTGTTTGTTTTGAAGAAAAAACAGAAGAAGAAATTTTTTTTTTTTTTGAGTTGGAATCTCGCTCTGTCGCCCAGACTGGAGTGCAGAGGCCGCTCCCGGCCACCGCAGCCTCGACCTGCTGGGTTCCAGCGATCCTTCCGCCTCAGCCTTCCAAGTAGCCGGAATTACAGGCATGCGCTACCGTGGCCGGCTGATTTTTTGATTTGTTGTAGAGATGAGGTCTTGCTGCCCAGGCGGGTCTCGAACCCACGGGCTCAGGCAATCCACTCACCTCAGCCTCCCAAGGCGTGGGATTACAGGCTGAGCCACTGAGCCCAGCAAGAAATTTTTTTAAAACTCTGTATTCTTTGTGGGCCGGGCATGGTGGCTCATGCCTGTAATACCAGCACTTTTGGGAGGTGAAGGCGAGAGGATTGCCTAAGCCCAGAGGTTCAAGATCAGCCTGAGCAAAATCGTGAGACCTCGTCTCTACAATAAATAAAAAATTAGCTGGTTGTGGTGCTGGTTGTAAAAAAGCCCACCACCACCAAAAAACCTATATTCTTTGTGCTCCTGTAGCACCCTGGGCTGACCTCCAATATAGAGATGACATAATACCGGCCCCTTCTCAGGTCCCCTCCCACTGTGGGAGCTTTTCTGTCTTCTCAATAAATCCTGCTTTCTAAAAAAGAAAGAAAGAAAGAAATGACCTAATACTATAAACTGTATCTATAGATTCCTAACCCATTTGATTTTTAAGCTCTTTTAAGGCAGGGACATTGGGAACGTTGAATCCACAGTAGAACTGACACAAAGAGGCATTCAATAATTGTTTTGTCCAAAGAATGAAATACGTTTCTAAAGAAATTACCTAGTATCATGTTCTCTGATGTTCTATATTATTTTTACTTTTTAGAGACAGGGTTTCATCTGTTGCCCAGGTTGGAGTATGGCAGTGTGATCATAGCTCACTGCAGCCTTGAACTCCTGGGCTCAGGCAATCTTCCCCGCTTAGCCTCCCAAGTAGCTAGCTAGGACTACAGGCTCACACCACCACATCCAGTCAATTTTTTATTTTGACACAGGGTGTCTCACTCTGTTACCCAGATTGGTCTCAAACTCTTGGCTTCAAGTGATCCTCCCACCTTGGCCTCCCAAAGTGCTAGGATTAAGGTTTGAGCCATCCTGCTTTGCTGTGCTCTTCTATCAGAGCAAAGCACGAAAATATACATGCATACACACTTGTGGTTGTTTTGCTTTCTCTCCTGCCAACTCTATAACTTCTTGAAGTTCTGCCTAAAATATGATCATCTTTCATCCAGGCGATACCTTCACAGGAACTTAGAAAATGTTTGTTGAGGGTCATTTTCATTTGTGTCTACATCAGCCCTCAGAAGAAAGCGTTATTTCATGGTTCCTGAAATAATGTGTGAATAGCATTAATAACTACGTAAATAAAAGACACTCCTTTTTTTTTTAAAGCAAGATTTATTGAGAAGTCAGAAAAGCTCCCACAGTGGGAAGGAACTCGAGGAGGTTGCCCAAAGATGGAGTCATTTAACCACTTAAATTAAGAGCAAAAAAGAAAGAATACCTAATGCAAAATACCTCTCCCCCAAACGGTGCGCTGCCTTAAAAACTGTGAGTACCTTGGACTAACTGGAAAAGTCAACTCAATAGAACCCTCTGGATTAGGAAGACTTTTGAAAGCTGCAATTAGGTGCAAGACAATAGTAGTTCAAATATCTCTCACCAGGATCAGCTAAACTCCTTCTTGGAAGCACCAATAAGGAGGCGAGGAAGGGTGCCAGATGGTTTGCTCCTAGCACCTACAACTTCGAGCCTTAATACGTGTAGCCAGGGGTGTTCGTGTTACAGGAACACCTACATATGTTGGTGACAGGCGCCAGCGATATATACACGATAGTGATTCGGAGACGACACATCCAGCTGCAAGGACTGTTATATACTCAACATACTTCAAAAGTGTTAAGTGTCTTAGAGTTCAGTTGGCGGAATGGAAGGGGAGAAAAATCGAAGAGAGAGGGAATGGTTGAAAACGAAGAAGGGAAAAGGAGCAGCTAAAGGTTAAAATACTTCCCTGAGAGGGTATTTCCAATTCTGATTATCTGTCACCTTCCTCCACCACACCAAAGAAAGTATACAGTTAGAAAGGAGCGTTCCCGATGGGCGAGGAGGAGGTCCTTTCAGCTCCCGCCCTCCGGCAGCAGGGGCTCAGCCCTACAAAGCCCTCCCGAGTCCCGCGCAGTCCCCAGCGGCCAGGAGCGCGCCGAGGCTCTCCGACCCCGTACCTCGAAGAGAGAGGGGCTCACGCTCCCGGTGTCCCCCCCGCCCCAGAAGTCGCGGGAGGAAGAGGGTGTGTGGAGGAAAGCCGGGGTCTTCGCGCACTCTCCGGCCGTGCAGAGAGAAGGCCCTTACCTGGCTCCAGGCCGTCTTTCCTCTGCGCTGCTATGAGCCCTGCCGCGGGTCCCGGCGCTCTACTCAGCGCACCTGTCGCGACCAAGCCGCTGCACCTACTGCTCCTGCGGCCCCG